CGGCGGGACGCGCCCCCACACGGAGCCGGCCCTGCCCGCGGAGCCGCCGCCGCCTCAGAACCGCGCGGGAAACGCTTTGAATTTAGGGAACGCGGGGCTTTGTCGGGGGCTCCGTGTGTTTACTGAATATACGACTTCTCCTCACTGCCTGAACTTCTCCTCTCCTGATGAAAACTAGGGGGAAWAACGTTGGCAACAAGTTTCAACTAACCGGGGTCAGGTAGGATATTAAAGCTTTCTGCAGGTAAAATTCCTTTCCGGCTAACTCCATGTTCAACATATGCTCACAAGCAATGAGACCCAGGGCGCCTGGGTGCATCGCCAGCTCCACAGTGCATTCCCACAAAGTGTCATGCATTTCCCACTGAGGTCTATAAACAGGTGTGCAACCTCCTTAGCCTTCGGGTGAAATTCCCATGTCCCATATTCCCACTTTGCCGTTTCTCTTTCTAGCTGACACTCTTTGAAGCTGGGGGGGAAAAAAATCCAATCCACCAGCTAGATGAACATCTCAGCAATCTCTAGATGTCTCAGAAGATTCCCAGGTCATAAARAATGTATAGTAACTCTCTGATGCCCTTTCCTATAGTTTCTTTTTTGTTTTGTTTAAAGTTTAAGTTTGGGACTTTATCTGCTATATTTTGGGCACTTCAAAAATCATCAGAGTCAAAACAAATTGTACATGAAAGATACGAACAGAGAGGAGAAAGAAARCAGAGCAAGGAAAAGAGTTAAAATAAAAACAGAGAGAAAAATATCCGGCTGGCTTTCCTGCTCCCACATAAATAATGGACAGCCAGTAAATAAGTAAGTTGCAGGGCTCAGCCGAGCCCAGGAGACTGGTGGACATGATCCTGCAAGTTTATTAGAACACAGAAACACAGCTGGAAGGTGATCTGGGAGGTCATTGAGTCTAGTCTGCTGCTGTCTCTGGCAGTGCCTCACCCAAGACCCCCACAGGGACCAATTTATCTCAGCTAGGAAGATATGGAAATAGCCCACCACGATCAGCCYTGTGATTTGGGACTCACACCACTGGGTATAAAAGCTGAATTTGGTCCCCTTGCTGTACTACTGAATTATATTCATTTCAAGGCATTCTCAAGTGCACACCTCACAAAATCTTTTCTAGTGCTACCACGCATTTCTAGGTTTTCCAGCAGTCACTTTCTCAGATCTGCCTTAAGTTCAACACGGGGGCCTATAGAGCTCTGGTCAGTGTTAATGAAGATCCTACTGATACACCCAAGAGATAATACATCCCCGCTCCCATAGTTACCAGGTATCTGGGTAGTTACTGGGCAGATAGTCCTGAAAAGATTAAATTTGAATGTCATTTTTCTAGCAAGGTGCTAAATGCTGTGCCCTCAGAAAGTTTCTTACACCTTCCCAGGGTTTGCTCACTTAACTGGAGTTGTCTACCATGCAGACACTGCCATTTGAATCAGTCTCTCCAGGCTTATGGTAACAAGAGACAGGCGCTTTACCATGTAATTTAGGTGTTTTAGTTTTGTTTCCACTTAAAGCTGAAAGAAATCCTCAGGTGATTCACTGATTCTTCAGCTTCTCTTCTCTCTCTCTAAAGGGAGACTGGTTATTTAAAGTTTTAAGCAGGCTTGCTAAAGCTATCCAATGTTAGATAATATTACCACATAAGCCAATACCATGGGAATGGTACCATAAGAATGATAGCAAAGTTCCCATTCTAAGAATGATAGCAGTGTCTTCTACAAGAGATGCAGGATTTAACCTCTCTGTGCCAGCCCACTGATTAGCCACCTCCCTCCACTACAAGTCATCTCAAAACCAAAGAGAATGTGCATTAGCAGGAGGAGCATCTCYGACTGACCAAGGCAGGAACAAGTTTGCTTTCTCATAATCAAACTTCCTCCATTTGTTTGAGTAGGATGAATGTGGGGGACAGACACTAGTCATAAAACCTGCTGGATTTCATTAGCACAACCCCAGATTTATTTCAGAACACTCATTTGAAGAGTGTTTTAATAGTGTATTAATTTTGCGCTTCATCACTACAATTTAATTGCAAATGAGTGCCACTGTACATAACCGCAGTAAGCATATGCAAGTTCAGTACCTGTTCAGCAATAAAATTTCAAGCTCATTTATATAATTAGTAACACTCCCTTGTTTCTTACAGGTTAACTTTCAGGTTTTTAAAAATAATAAAGTCCATTGAGTTTTCACTGTTTTGCTGCTGGCATGCTTTTTGTACTTCTCCTTGGACAGGGAAATCTGATAAATAGGATGGTAAGTTCCAATGTCATTAAAAATCACTTTCTGGGTTATTTCCCTTTCAGATCGTGCAAATCTTGCAGATCTTGCACTACAGTGACTATTGTTCACGTGCTTTAGTAACGTATTTGATTTTCTAAGTGGAAAAGAATGAAAAACCACAAACTCARATAGGCTGTGCAATCAGGTTCTTAGCTGGTGTAAACAGGGAATGTCAAGCCTGCTCACTACCAGCATAGGTTAAAACTCGACTGCTGCTCACTGACAGCAGATATCCTCAGCCCAAGAGCAGGCACAGCTCTGCCAGCGAACTCACAAGCTTCTTTGGCCTTCCCTGCAAATGCTCACTCAACCTTCTGGAACAGACTGCCCCAAAAAAAAAACCCATGAGAACCTGTCCCTGTACCCATCCATGTGCTGAGACACAACAAACAGCACTGCGACAAAGCCTCAGCAGTGTAATTCAGACTGTAAACAAAGAGGGGTTTATAGGCTCTCAGCCTGATGTAGGGTCACGTGGGTGTCTACAGAAGTTTCCATAATAAAAGTTTTGACTTCTTCACAACTTTAGAAGTCAGATACTCAGAATCCCCACTCAGACAGAGTCCTGTTAAGCTCTTGGACAGTTAGCAGATATTAAAATTAAAAGCAGTTGTTGCAAACCTAACTTAGTGAGTGCCAATACTCCAGCAGTTCTTAGCCACATCATTACCATACTGTTTCCCTGCCACAAAGACACATGTAAATCCTAAATATTGTCAATGAGCGCAGTAGTGATGTGCTGCATCTCATCACATCACACAAGTCTGCAAGCCCTTGCATAAGATACCTGACAACACTAGCTCTGCTAAATACTGTTTCTTACATTACTTCCATAGGTATAGAATAAGGATCTGTGGCAGTGCTATGGACCAAATCCTGCCATTCTCATCTTTATTCAAATGGGTGWTTTTAGCAGTTCAACACACGCCAAACATTGCATTTGATCTATGCAACAGAGTAGGATCGGTGCCATTCATTTAGTTCAAGTCAGCAAAGATTTCACCTGAGGTTTTCTGAGCTGAATTCTGACTCCAGGAAACGAAGGAACTGGTCTCGCCCTACTGGGTCCTTCAGCACCTCATCCATGGAGAAACCCCATCTTTTCACACGCTGCTGACTAGGTTCTTTGCTGTTTGGAGAGAGAAGGGAAAAAACAGATGGAATGTGCATCTCTGCCTGCTGTCCGAGCAGCTGCTGCTGTTTCTGCTAAGTGAAGGGAGGAAGATTATCAGATTTTTTTTTTCTCAATATTTTGTAGAATTACAAGTTAGAAATAACATAAAAAAGCTATAAAGACCAGGGTCAACATTAAAACAATAGTATTATCTGGGTGCAAAATACAGGGCAAAATAAGAGATACTGTGAATGATATGATTTTCAGGGCAATTTCTGGTAGGGTTCACGTGAAGAACAGCATACCATACTCAAATGATTACTCATTATGCACTTCTTGCATATCTCCTCAAATGTACTTTAGAATTTCTTACATGTCAAGGCAGAATTTCCCCAGCAATGTTCCCTGGGTCACTGGTGAGCTCCAGAGCATTCCTTGTGTCCCACACAGTGCTGCCTGGTCACTTGGAACCGGCTTCAGATTTTCAGATCCACATTTGCATTAGAAAAGCAGTTCCACTAAGAAGCAGCGCAGACAAAGTATCTAAAATGATTACTGGTTTGTGGTCTTTTTATTTTTCAGTGCCTCTGATTTTTGCATGCCTAAGTCTCAGAAGACTAAAAAGCATCTTCCTCCTACTCTCCATCATAATCAGACTTTTATTTTGTGTCTCAGCTGGGATACTGAGAGGCAGAGGCACTGAAAATCACACCCAACCTTTCTCCTAATTTCTTTCTTAATAGAGCCCTCCTTACATAAGCTGTTTGAATTGCTAGACATGTTGCAGAGATGCCTATGGGAAGAGGTGGTGCCCAGGAATCACAACGAGGATCCTATGAGACAGTGCATCAGAGCGTAATCTGGACTCACAAAGTGTTTGAAAGCTTCTGGTGTGATGGCGTCATACTATGAGACAGCCATTAAAACACAGCTCAGCTGCTCACATTTGTGACAGCAGAGCCATTGTTAACAGTACATATCTATTAAACTATGTGTCTCGTCATGTCCACAGTGATTCCTAATCACGGAGCCTTAGGGGACAGTGGCGATCTGTGCTGAAGACAAATAAGCCAAAGGGGTAAATAAAATGCCTGCTTTGATTTTCTCTTGGTGTAAAGGCTAAGCAGAATTGATAGGCATGTCCTCACTTGAGGAGCAGCACACTCGGGATGGCTCCTCCTGCACTCCCTCGGGAGCCAGCAGTGCTGCACACAGGGCGCCGATCCAGCCTACCTGTTACGTGAGCCAGCCTGGACATCAGGGCATGAAACCTATGCTCGGGCACAGCCATGAGTGAGCTAAGCTCAGGGAATTTCCTGCGGAATCCAGAGATCTGTAGCTGCTCTTCTTGCAGCTACTCAATGTTCTAGCAAAAAAAAGGCAAAAAAAATGGAATGTTTTCCGTGGCACTTCCTGAGTCCGGATTGCCGTGAAGGATGAACGTAGGGGCACGAGGTTGCCCATGCTCAGCAGCCAGCCCTGCCACTAGGAGTGAGAGGCTCTTTGTTTTCCTGTGCCAGGGCTCTGCTCTCCTAACTGAGGAAAAACAGCTTTGCAGGAAACACAAGGGGATCTTGGGGATCATTTAATTATTCATGCAAGTTGCAACTAGATGCAGATGCAGTGAGTTCTTTTACAATAGAGAATAAAATGGAAATACAGAGCTGTTTGTTTTTCCATCTCCCYACACTACAGCTTTCTCTTTTTCATCAGCAGGAGAATCAGTTTCCTTAACTCTGAAATCATAGCAGAAGCCAAGCATTTATTTTAAATTCCTATAAGGCTGTGACATCAGGTTAATTGTATTCTTTGGGGACACAGACATCTTTGCTGGGATTTGCAGCTACCTCAACAGATGCAGAAATAATGGATGCCTGGATTACCTTGTGGGTRAGGGTTTCTGCAGAGCAGTATTTTGCAGGGGCTGTATTTGGTACTAGCCCTGTTAGGGAGGATGGAGAAAAATAGAGAAACTAGCTAAAAAAGAAACTGCAAACAGTAAAATCATGTAAAGAGGGGCAGAGGTCAGGAAAATAATGGATTTCTGCTATTACCAGAGAAGCAGGTGAAAACAACTTTCACATCCCAAACTACTTGGTTTTTAAACAGAGCAAAAGACTTGTCCTTTTCCTGGAACACTGATTTACTATGAATTTACTATGAATCAGTTTTCTTAGGCCAAAACATCTCTAAATTATTATTCAAGAACACACAGGATTAGATTTGGCATTCTCTTATCAAAGATTTGGTAAAGTGAACTCCAAGTTCAGATTTGGTGCCMAATGGCAGCAGTTAAACACTGGAGAAGCTGCTGAGCCCTTGCAGCTGTTGGCCACAGGATGACTGAGTAGTGAAGGTGATATAAGGCATGGTAATTTCATTCAAATKTGCTGTAGGAGCTGTTAGGCATAGTGACAGACAGGACAATTMTAGCCCCTCTATGAGGATTGTGGACAGCCTGTGAAGGTAAGAGACACAGACACAGGCCAGACTTCCCATGCACCAGTGTCACATGGGCAGTTGCAGTGCTGTACTTGGCTTTATTTTTGGATAAACTCTCTTAAGTGCAAGGCATTGAATGTCCTACAGTCATYCCACTCTCTTTTCATTTATTAGACACCATAACAGAGATAAGTCAGCTTGTTCACTAGAAGGTGAGGCCCAAAATCACTCTAATTCTGAGCTGCCAAGTCTCACACATTACACGTGAGCTACATTCTTCTGGCTCCTATGCCAAACSCACTTCTGCACAGCAGCAATGGCCACTACTCTACAACTCATCCCATTTTCCAACAGTACCTTCCATGGAATTCCAGGACAGGAACAGGGCTGGAACACTGCAGGGAAGAGGAGCAGGCAGCAGTTTCTCAAGGGTCAAATGAGATGTGCTGGGAACAAGTTTGTCTTAGCAGTATCCTATAGCTGGAGGCTCCTAGACCTGAGTGTACATGTGCTTGACAGGTATGAGAAAATCCATTACCTGACTTACAGACTACCATACATCAAGCCATATGGCAGTGGAAGTGCTGAATAATTCACAGAAAACAGTGATAAACTTTAGCTGTGTTCTTGAATCTTGTAGTTACATTCAACTTCCTTTCCAAACAGGGCAGTGTGAAACAGACAAAATGGCAAGACAAGTCTCACATTAGTTAGAACTACCAATTATTTTTTACCTCATTTCAATGTCCCACAGTGCTGTATCATCACTTATCCAGGGATTGGAAGGCTCAGCAGGAGTTATAAAGGGGTCATATTCCACATACTGTTCTGTGTAGGCTATTAAACTGACAGGTAAAAAAAAAAAGGAAAAAAAGAAGAAAGAGTTTGAATGTTCAGTCACATGTCAGAGAGCTACAGATTTTGTGTGTGTGTGTGTGTGTGTGTGTGTGTGTGTGTGTGCATCTTTTTATTTATAAGGATTAGTTTCTCAGCAACCAAAGGAGACCTTTTTCTCAGTAATGATGCATGCAAGGACTTCTCTGCAAACACCCACCAGCTCACTGCAGTATTTTCCTCAACAGCAGCATTTTCCTCAAGCTTGTCTCTGCTGAGATGCCCCCAAAAGGCCTGGTGAGGCAACAACTGGATTGCTATGGCAGCACATCACCCAGAGAGCCATGGGATGAATATGAAGTGTGTGTCATCCTCTTGCAGACTTTTGCACCCACATAAATTTATGTACTGTGAGAAACTCACCTAAATAGGGTCATGGGCTGTAACTAAGGATATGCTTAAATCTTTGGAGGATCACAGTCCTGAGCATTGCCTGTAGGTCATTTTTAGTTATATTGGTGTAGCATTTAGACTAATGGCRCTATTGTAAAATACTTGAACAGTAATAATTAACTCAGACTATATTAAATTATATGCACGTTGGAAAAACACCTGGCCTTTATAGTGGCTTGCTTCATGGTGAGTCAGTTAAGGCATATAGCCTCTAATCCTCTCACTAGGATGAGATTCAAAGAGCTTTCTGGGAAAARGACTGTGCTTGCATAAATGATTCAGGAATTCCACTGGGGCTGGGGCTAGGGGCACATTTTTACAAAAGAAAGACAGCATATATGAAATTAATCAAAAGAAAATTCTTCTAGTCTATATTGAAAATACTCTAAGGCACTTTTTTTTTTTTTGCCTAGGTCTGCCAAGTAATTAACAAAGTTAATTGTGTCTCATCATACTGAACAACTAATGTACTTGCACTGTGACTGTGTCCATGCTAAACTTTACCTCTGGTCCTCCACATCTCAAAAAGGCAGAAGAATGAAAAGACCCTGTGAAACAAAGGGTCATAAAAGGCACAAAGTTTCCCTGACCTGCTCTATAGTAATTATTTCTTTTTGTTTGTCCTAGCTCTTATCATGAGGCATTAAAATCATACACTTTTGTAACCACAGCAGGTTCCCATTGCCCCTTAGGGCTCTCAGGGCTGTCTCATCTCATTTCATTAATTACATTTCATGACTGCTGTGGGTCAAGGGTTGGAGGAGGGAGCAGCGTCCAATTTCACAGAGCAGCAGCAATCCCTTAAACATCAATGAAAGAGAGGGTTGGTTAAAAAAGAAAAGAAAGCCAAAAAGGATCAATCAGGAGATAACTGCTGTGAAACCTGAATTGCTCCAAATAAAATAATAAGAAGGCATCAGAGGTGCTAGTACAAGTACTAGCAAAAAGGAAAGGGGGAAAAACTAAAATGAAACAAGGGGGAATTTTGCTGATTCAGTATTATGACAGCAGCAGAATCATTGCCTCATTGTCTAAAGGAGGCTACAGGCAGGGACTCCTAAGGGAAAGCATTTCTRTCAAAATGCAAACCTGGCCTTTGGGGTGATAAACTGTATATCCAGCAGAAGAGGTAGTGGGAACAGTTGACTGAAGGGTGCAGAGCTTGCCTGGAGAACCCAACTCAGTTCTCTCTCAGTCAAGGGGGCCTGCTGAGCATTCACATGAACTTTGAGCAGATGAAAGGATAGCACAGATTTTCATCTATGGAGCTGAGATTGCTTCTGGTAGGAAGATGCTCGTTTTTCTCCACCCATTTTGGTGATGCCATGTCTAATGACATTGTATTCACACTGCACAGTGCAGTCAGGGAAAACAATAGGTAGAATATATTGATAGTTTTGCTGAACAGTTCTCAAATCTCAATGGCTAAAACTGACAGTATGCAGGTCCCAGGTGGGGAGAAAGGATGGGGAAGAAAAAYGGTTTCCAAGGTGCATGGAGCAGCTGAGGAATGCCTGTTCCCACAGCTGGTACAGATCTGCTCCTGGAAGGGAAAGAGGGAGGGGGGGGAAGAAAATCTTTAGTAGCAAGCATTTATCTCACAGAAGCTGGAGATATCCTTTGGAGAGCCTTTCGTTTCTCTTCTGACGGACAGGGACTATCCCAAGAATAATGTGAATTAATGGAAAATAAACCAAATTGATCTATTACTATTGAAACAATATACCTTATTCCTGTAACTTCTTTCCTCTAGTGCTTCTGACTTATTTGCTTCTTGTTACTTCCCTCATCCTCCCTGAAATTGCCTTTGTGCTATACTGAAAAATTGGCAGGTGGTGCCACTGTTAGGCTTGACTGCTGAAGGGAGTGTGCCAAGAAGCYATCTCCTGTACCCTGATCTACCACACTGTCACTTAAACTGTCTCAAGACAACTGTCCCAAGAGCAGGGTCCAGCCTGAAAAACACTTGATAATAACAGACTTGACAATAACAGCACTGCCTTACACAGCAAATTTGTTCCTAATGCTTGTATTCAGTGTTTTAATGGGGCTTTCAAGGCTGCACAGGGTTTTTTCAGGCAATTGTTCCAGTCAGGTTATCCACATTCATTCCTCCTCACCAATACCCACCCCTGCAAAGCCACTGGAGCCATCAGCCCCTCTCCTTCCCTCCTATCTGCTCTGCAGTGCTCCACAGTCGGGCTGCACTTCCCACCACTCTCCACACCAAGTCCTGGGGAYGCCAATCAGAACTGCCATTCAAAGTTCATCACATAACCAAACATCTCCTCAAAAGATATAAATATCACAACCATTATTTTAATATTTTATAATTATTAATAATTACTCAGAAATACAGGTTCTTYACCCAGAGGATGGCTGAGGTCCCCAGACTCCCCATGGCACTAATCCCTCAGGCACATGATGTGACCCTTAGGACTCTCCTGTGTAGGGCCAGGAGTTGGACTCGATGATCCTTGTAGGTCCCTTCCAACTAAGCTTATTCTATGATTCTGTAATTTGATTTCGTTTTACTTTTTTCCTGATTATTATTTTGCACAGGTTTTGATAGCAACATTTTCTTCTCCAGCTTGGRAGCAATTAAAAAAGAAAAATAGAAAGCACTTTCAAAACAGGAAAATTATCACTGTCTCAGTATATTAAGGTCATTGTAAGTAAAGTCAGCACAATGACAACATTTTTTTCTTGAAGTACAAGTATATGTCCTTAATTAAAAATATCCAAAAGCCCCAAACATAAATATAAATGTGCTCATTTCAATCACACAATGTATTGTATGCAGGATTTCAGGGTGCCTCTGGATATTTTCTATTTAATTGGATACATTTTCATTTTAATTGCTAAACTTTATGAGCCAATAGGAGATTACATTGGGCCTCTCACTATTTAATTTACCTAGTTTAGAACACACATGCTAACTACAGGCGCAGGCACTGCAAAGCATATTTCATGGAGTAACCCTTCTTTAATTTGCTTAAATAAAAGTCCTCTATTATTTCTCTAGAAGGAACCAGCCCTTATCATGTCCTTTGGGTTTAACACAGTTTTGGTTTAAAAGTGATGTCACTAAGGAGCATGACTATCCCTATCTCATCTCAGTGACCACCCTGCAAATGTGTATAACTTACAAGAACCTAAGGAAAGTAGCTGTCATTCTCAATTATATCTGAGCTTGCTCTTCACCTGTTCATACTTTTCTACCAAAACTAAATACACTGTAAGTCAAATTGTGCATTGATTTGTTTCTGAGAAATACACTTCTTAAAACACTGTCTCGAGTAGTCCAGGTACAATCCCAGTGCTTTTCTTGGGGTTTCATATGTGTGCAAATGGGAGCAGGAACTGTCCCTACAACCCCAGTATGAACAGAGACATGAATACCATGTGCAACAAATGCAAACACAGCTCCTTCCCCAGAGCTGTGCCAGACTAACAAGAGATGAGCACTGAGAGTTCAGCCACAAGGGGAAAAAAAGGGTGTTTTCAAACTGAGATAGGAATGACTTTTCTAAAAATAAACCCTAGAATTGTGAAGGGATGGGAAACAAGTCCTGCCAGGGTTCTTTCTTTTGTGAATGCTTTTCTTCTGCAGCATGACAGGTCCTCATTTTCCACCTATTTTTCCTCAGCAGCAGAAAAGCAAGTACAGAAGTGTCAGCAGCCAGAAGACAGGTGGCACAGCTGGTCAAGGAGAGGAAAGGATTGATGCACAGAGAGGGGGTCAAACCTTTGTACTTGCTGCCTGCTCTGTTTTTTGAAATGCAAAATGAGAGATGAGAAAGAACGGGGAATCATCAAAATAGAGACACTCACCTTTCTGCTACTTTGGACATCTTTAAACAATGTCTCTCTATCTGCATATTCAGGAAAGTTATCTGAGGAGAGAGAAGACAAGGACTTTAACAATCCATGAGTTCCGCAGCATGCATTGACAACATCCCAACACACTATTGATTTCTCTTTCCAAAGAGCATGACAGCAACTCAGAAGGAAATGGGACCCTTCCCTAGGTATCTGAAGAAGCTTATTAACTGCTTCCAATAGAAGTCTCCATTTCCAAAGGCAAAGCCCTAGGGGAAGCTTCAGAAGACATAATTAAAAGTAGGAAAGAGACATATTTGGGGCCAAGGTTCCTAGACTACTCAGGGCGCAATAGGATCCCCTTTTTACAGCCACACTCCGCTCTCCCATTTCTCTGACTGACTGGCATCACAAGACCAGTAACTGTTTTACAGCACACTTCCACTCTACTATAATCCAGTTCTTCAGTCTATGGCAAAAAAACTCCAGAAATATAGCATTCACACTTAGTTCAAAAGACCACCCAAAAACTGGTTGCCTAAGAAACATGTTTAAAGCTGCCTTAAGTAAAATGCTGATCTAATGACTCCTGTTTGTCTTTCAGTGAGGGCTGCTTGCTGCAGCGAAGTAATTTTGAGGGAGAGCTCTTTGTGTCAGGGCAAGGATGTGTGAATTGGCTGGTCATTCCTTGGCATGATTGTGCAAATAACTTTTTCCTAGTTTCCTAAAAKCTCTGACTGTACTGTCTAACAGTCATGCACTGAATGATGCCTTTCCTCACCACTTGTCCCCAGCCTGTGCCCAGCTATGCTGCCCTTTGTCGCTGCCCTTTTCTTCAGACATGCTCAGTGAACTGGAAATTAACCTGTCCACTGGTCCACAGACAGAGTAACAGTAGGTTCAGAGGTCAGCGTTACTCACAATACCTATCACCATAGGACTGCACTGTTTAATGAATATTTACTAATRCTTTACATTAATGACCATCAAGGAGAAGTATGTGAGGAGCAGGGATAGGTAAAACATCCAGTTTTACCTGATACCTCAGATACCTCAGTAAGTTTATATGCCTTTTTTTTTCTGGTAGCAGTTCTCAGAAGAGTTGCCACACAGCCACCTACTTACTTGCTTCCGGAAATCCTCTTTTGTAGTTTTGCGCACTGGTTGGGAGGGCATGTGTACAGGGCTTTGGGGCTGAGACTCCTCTGTAACCCCATAGACTGACTGTGAGGAACCAAACAGAAAGATTACAGAAGTTTTCTGTTATGCAATGAGGAACAGCACAGTATGCAAAGCAGAAAGGTAACAAGCCAGCAATTTCCTACTCTTTATACCCATACAGGGCAATAATCATTCAGCCTGGAGCAAAATTTACAGATCAGACTGTGCTTGCTGATGCCTGCACTTGGAAGGCCTGTAGGCATATTAAGGAAAAAAATTGTTTTAAATGTTAAAATGCAGCTGATAATTKATAGGAGCTCTGAAGGCTGTGTGTGTTAGCATTTGCAGGATGAACACTGGAAGTGATCATTGAGGTGAATCAAGTGATAAAGGAAAATAYTAGAACCCAATTCTATGCTGCTGTTTTTCACTGATTTTAATTCCTTGATGTAAAACTATATACTGAAGAAAGTGCTTAACCAGGCCAAGTCAATGGGTCAAGTACATGGCAACTTCTCTAAACAAAAACCTGCAGGTTTCTGAACCTGCAGATTGCCTTGTAGCCATTCATTTTCAGCACAGATATATGCATTAAAAATAGTATTATTTGCCCTTTCATTTAGAGCTTTTGCTTTTCAGTAAAATTTCTAAGAGACATGTGAATAGCTCTGCAGCAAATGATGAGACAAAAATCATGCACCTGAGGCTGCACCAAGAGAGGTTTGGGACTGGGCATTATGAAAAATGTCTTCACTGAAATGGTTATCAAGCACTGGAATAAGGCTGCTCAGGGAAGTTACTGAGTCACCATTCTTTAAGGTATTTAAAAGACAGGAACAYAGTTTAGTGATTAAGGTTTTGAGTCACTGATTTGATATGTTTTCTTCAATCTAAATGATGCTATGACTTCATGTACACAGAAAAGCTCCAACTTCGTGGAAGTCAAAGACTCCAAGTTGCCAATGATCCAGCCTTTGAAATTATTAAGGCAGGTAAACGTCTCATTATCTGTGCCCAGRTAATTTCTTAAAAGGGGACCTAAGTATTTTTGCCAATTCMTTTTAATTTTATGGGAGTGCAGACATTTGGAACACAGAGCTCCTTAATGCCCTTCTCAGCTCTACCCATCACCCAGTCTACACCACTCATCTGGTAAAATGGAAATAATTAATTCACCAAGCATAACATAACAAAACACAACTCATACTACCAAAATTCCTTTTTTTGGTTCCTACTGAGTCTCCTATACTGTAGTTGTCAAGTATGATTTACGTTAAAAAAAAGTAAGATCATGAACCAAACCAACCCCAAAGAAGCAAAAACCAAAACCAGGAAATCAAACTGACCTTTTTCACTTTCTGTGGGTTTTTCATACGGCGACACTTTCTAATGTCCATTTCTGTGGTGTTCACACAGCCTGGCTGAAAAGATATGACAATCATGTTACTCCTTTGTTTAGGATCTTCAAGCTATTATATCTTTATAAAATATATAATTAGATGTTGTCCAAAACTCTCTYCTGAGGTTGGCTCCCACAAATTACTCTAGCTAAACAAGAGACTGCACACACCCAAGGTGTCGCCATGTCAGTTTTCAATCCACTTAGTCATAACTTTGGCACCAAAAGGAAACAAATAATGGGGGTAGCTTTTTCTAGGAAGCCTGAGCCAAACTGAGTAAGCTGCTTTTAGACCAGTAAACAATTTTCCAAAATTCCTATTTGTCACCTATTTCCAAATAGGTGCAACAAGCCCAGAACATCTCAAATAATCTTGTAGACACTTCATGTATTTTGAACTGCAAGGAAAATCCATGTGGTGCCTATAAAGGCAATGTCTTTGTGCATAGCACACTCACTAGTAATAAAACTTTCCCTGTCAAATCCTGGAAAGCCTCATAATTCAAAAATAGTTTTACCACAGGCCTGTGCACATCCCAGAATGCTCTTTCCTGGCTGTCCAAAATCTTTCTTTCTGTTTTATCTTTTTTCCTGTCGATTCTGAAAACAAAAGCATAAGTGAGTATGAGTCAATGTACAAGTCATGCTTTCTTCTTTGATACAGGTTCTAGCTGGGGTTTTTAACCCCAAGACAAAAAATTTCAGAAATCAACTTTTTTTTGTACAGCAATGTCACACTCTCACTTACAAGGCCACATGCCATGAATAAAATATCACTGATATTTTCTCCAGCATGGGTCAAAAGAGATTTTCCTATTAACATGGAAAATTTAGCAGCTGTTTTTAATCTGGTGAGGAAAATTTTTCCTGGTACCCTGCTCCCATATTCTGATTTGACAGGYTGCGAAAGTTTGTAGTTTTGTCTGTGTCAGGATACCCACCAGGGCCTGTTTGCTCCAGGTGAGGCTCTTGGCTGATGCTGGAGTGAGGTCCCCACCAGGAAACCCCATTGCACCACTCTGCCCCAGCAACACAAGACTGAATACAGATTGCAAAGGAACATCTATCCCAGACACTCCCAGCAGCAACAGCATAGGCAGCACTTATGACCACTCCTCCTTAGAGCTTTCAGCCYGAAGACTGGCTCTGCCTGTGTTCCCTGATGCTGGCAGAGCAAGGGGTGACAGCACAGGTGACCAGAGCTGAGCTTGCTGCACAGCCCCTGCAAACCCAAGAGAGACATGGCTGGGCTGGCACAGCAGGAACTCAGTAATKCCAGCCCCGATGCAGCCAGTGAACCAACTCATTCAAAGCACACAGCCTAAAGGCCATCAGAGGTTCTTCAAAGGAACTCTTGGCAGCATTGAGAAAGTCACTGATGCCTCACCCAGCTTTACATGTGAGGACAAAGTCAGCATCAGCTTGCAAGATCTACCTGCACAGGGACATGGAAGGATGAACAGCTTCCACTTCCAGAGTAGGATTGAATAAAGCTCAGTGTCCCTGTGCTGGGTTCCCACACYGCTGCAACCAGGAAAATCAAAGCTGTGAGGAAAAACCCCATGCCAGCTGTGATTTCTGACACCAGGTTCTTTCCCTGTTTTTGTTTTGGAGGGACAGTGAGCCATGGCTAAGTCTAGCTACATGTGCTAGAAATGTACCAAGAGGATAGGAAGCAGAGGACTGAAACGGAAGTTTCTGAACACCCCTCCCCACAAAAAGACCAAATTCTCCAAATTTGGCATCACTTGCTGAATTTCCCCCTTACAAGGCTGAGATGAGAAACAAACTCGGGCACAAGCTCTGCCCCACACGAAGACAGAGCAGCTGCTGTACTGCGCTGAGGACACCCAGTGCAAAACTACTTATGTGAGTGAGTCCTTCACACCTGCCCAAAGGGGAAGGTGAAGTGTACTTCAAATTTTATACCACACAATGCACACCAATTGGTGGGACTCTTTGGAGGATTCATGAATTTTCTTCACCAATACTTAGAAACTGACAATCTGGGGTGAGCACAATCTCCAAACTTACTGATAGCTCGCTATTTCACATTTTAAATTATGAAGACCCAAGCCAGTTAGATGCTCTGTGGCTGCAGAGAATGTGGGTATAGCAACATTTTGAGAAAGTGGGTATAGCAACAGGAGTCCTATGAGCAAGCAAAGATGTGGAAAGCAAAGCAAAACTTGGTAATCAGGAGGAATGTTTTCATGTATTTTTGTGTTGGTTTCCTTTTTTTTTTTTTTTTCCTTTTTAGTTAACTGTGAATTACAACGTAAATTCCAGCCCTGCATTTCTGGAAACTGAAGGCTGAACCATCACATGAACTGTGAACCAAGATGCTGAAACTAGTCAGGAAAAAAAGTTGATAGTGACCAGTTCATGCTTATGCTTCAAAGAAAACAGAATGCAAAAAAAGACAAATAACAGTGATCATAAGGAGTCTGATATTTACACTTCTTCTTAGGTAATAATTATATGTTTTAGACAGAATGTAGACTTTTGTTTTGACTTACACATTTTTTTTTTCATCTTGGCAACAGTCTTTAAGTAACTGGAAGTACAATTGCTATCCTAAGTTCTAATTTTCTCTTCCAAACAGAACCAATTCTGGTTGGATAAAATCCCTTAATTACCTTATAATTTAAAAGATAATTACCATATATTTAAATGGTACATAATTGCAATGTTATTAAGCAAAGAATTAATCAGAATTTCAAAGGGTTAATCAAAGATAGAGACATACACCTCAACCACACCTTCAATAAACGTTGTTTCTTAACATTTTTAGCACCTACTGCTGAAAGTGCAAATTCCTTCCAGTGGTGTTCTCACCTGTGATCTTCACCAACCCTTTCATTTTATAGGTGGCAACTACATGCACAAGAATGGACACTCACAGTTTCAGGTATTTGTTTGTAGACAATAGTACACAAACCCTGGACCAYACCCATTTACCAGCAGTAACACACTCAAAACATTAAGAGGCTTCATACTCTCATAGGGGAAGGTGAGAAGAAATACCTGTTGTAAATACCACCCTTACAATCACATTAAAGTGACAATATTTTTAGAATCAGAAATACTCTGCAAGCATGGAGGAACACAGATGACAAAATTCTGTTGCTTCCATTCRCACAAAGCAAAAATGCTACACAAATGTAGAAGCACAATGGGCTTGCGAATTACCCAAGGTCCCATGACAAATACAGGCTTACGAGCTCCTGACCAACATTTCCATGTACAGATAATTAAACTCATCTTTCAGATCCTGGCACAGACTTTCAGAATTGGCTCTCTACTGTTTCTAGTCTGCCAGTGATTAAAATTCACCAACACCTTCTGAGCTTAGTCACAGTAAAGAYTTTGACAAAGAAGTTTTATCTGTACAGAATCCCCTTCTCTCCACAGCTCTAAACATTGGTGCAGTTCAGTGCTCCAGGATTACTCACTTCACTTGGGCCTCTGCTTGCATGAAGATGAATTCCCACTTTCTTGCAAATGCTCTCTGAAGTCTTGCTAAGTTTTCCTGACAAAAAATGAAAACAGTGAGAACAATTAATTTCTGTAATTACAATTTCTTGAGACCACAGTTAGCATGGTGGGTATGTATTTTATTCCCTTTTTTCTTTTAGGCTGAGAAACTAAAGACATGGAAGTCAGTGTTGGTTTCAGGTGAACTATACTGCAGGCAAAGCAAGGCTGTAACACATCTTTTTGGGCTGCAACCCAAAGGGCCCTGTCAGGGATAAGTAATGGAGTGTGATGAAGACAGCTTGAGCTCTACTATGAAAAAAAAAATATGGACTTGTTCCCAAAAGATAACACTGAGAAGCTTTGTGAAGCTGATGACTTTCATTTCTGACAGCAGATGGCTGCCAGCTGCACGTTTCCCTCTCATCCTCACTTTCCCTTCCTCTCTGCACTGTTCTCCTCTCTTCAGGCTTTTGTGAAGGTGCAAAGCCTGAGCATCCCCTGCTTTGCTCAGTCCTGGCCACTGCTGAGAGCATTATGCAGCTGCACAGTGCTGAGGGCTGGGGATTGCCAGGATGATTCACAAAAGGAAATAGCTTGTTTGTCTGAACAATGAACACAGTTACTGCAAAGAATGGCTCCAGATGCAGTTCTGCTCTACAACTGAAGTAAAAGCTCTGSTACAGACCCATTGCAGAGAGCGCAGAGATCTGAACATTTGGATGTGAATGTGGCTTCACCACAGCTCAAGGTTAAACTCGGAACATGGCCAGAATTTCAGGCTTAAATGGCACCCCAAGGTTACATATCCACATGCTCCCCAAGAAAGCAGGCCTGCGAGACAATTAACAGGATGCTCCTCTCCATTACAGCTAGTTTAACTGTTTTAAATTTACACTGAAAACAAACATTTGTAATTCTGTTTTTTTTTAAACTTATCATTTTTATTTCAAGACATTTATTTCAGGCACATGCTATTTCAGTGAATAATAGGAAGAAATCTTCCTATTATTCACTTTAAACTCTTGTATAATACAAGGCATAAAGCTTGGCCGTGTTACCACCACGTCCATGTAGCAGTTTCAGTCTGTACACATGGAGGAAAACAAATGATTTACAGCTGTACTGAAATGTAATGATTTCCTAACTTTGGCTACAAGGAAGAACAACTTGTAATTATTTGTAATACAATTTTTTGTGGGTTTTTTTTCATTATTTTTATTTTGTTTTAAATTATGTTCACATGTGCCCTCTGGAGTAAATATGCTGAAGCCAATGAGACATCACTAATTGAAGCAATATTTGAATTGTGCTTATGTTTGACCAATTATAAAAAAAAAAACTTGAATGCAACTATACAAGCTTAACCATATCATCAAACCCTGCTCTACCCACTATAAATGGGGCTGGAGGTTATCCGTGAATGCTGCAAGAAGAACCTAAAAATGAGATGTCCCCGAGATGCTTTGTAGGAAGTCTGTTTTGAAGCTCCAGGTCACTGCTGATACCTATGGAGAAGAATTCTCACACTGCATCTCCAAACAGGGGTACTAAATGTACAGGGCTCCTTCTCACTCCTGCAAGCCTGCTTCTCKCACTTGTGCTGAGCTTACATCCCTTGCTGGATCTGCCTCAGCTCCCATAATGCTCAGGAAGAGTTGGTGCCATTCTTATCTGAATGTCTCTAATTAAGAGAACAAAGTTTGAATGTAGAAGTAACCTCTAATTGTGCAATGCAATATTCACAAGAAAAAGGAGAGACTGCCAAGATCTAATTATTTACCATCACTGGASCATTGCTACTCTCAGTAGGCAACARTGTGCAAAAGTACTTAGCCATWGCCTCACTGCATGTGTGTGGGAGTATGTGYGCTGCTGAAGAGCCTTTTGTTGCTTTATGATAGATCTTTGGAGTACTTACAGTTAATTGGTTGGATGCGAGCAATTTTAATAGTTTTAATAATGAAATCAACAACGTGCAGAAGACAAAACTCAGCAAAAGGACATGTAAGTGCATGCAGATTTTTATATTCCTTTCTTTGTGCCTGTTGGAGATTAGAACTCTTGGGAAATCTGAATGCATTTCCAGGGTGTACTACGTAAGTGGCAACTTTTGCATCCTCTGCTGGAAGGACCAAATGGGATGAACACATCTCTCCAATGTTCCAAAATGTAGAAGGTAAGGAAGAAGGGAAAATTCCAATCTCAGAACCCCACCCCTGYCCTAAAATATATGCAAATATATGCAATGCAAATTATTCATTGWAATAAGAATGACTACAGAAATCCACTAGAACCAACTTTGTAAACAAACCCTCCAATGAAAGGTTCCACATATAAAATTCTGCTATGACACTTTAGAGCTAGTAAACAGAAAAGGTCAATATGACAGGAAAGTTTAGCTGCTCAGAGTGCTACACTGCTGGTATTCAGAGAAATACACAGCCCTGCCCCTCCTGTCTCCATCTTCCCACTCATCTCCACCCTGCACTCTGACACCAAGGTTTGGGGTATTTTTAYTGATAATAATTCCATATCAGAAAACATTCTCTGAATAAAGTTCGGCGATATTTTTTTATACAGCATATTGAAAACATTCCAAGTCTAATATCTGAAAATTTTTGTCACTAGATGTCTCATCAACAATTTAATTGCCCAATGGTGCACCTGAAAATCCATCATTTCCAKGTGCTAAAATCTGTTTTATAAACTGGGATTTCTTAACTGGAAACAGGACACCAATCCAAATCTTTGTAATTTGCCCCAGTCCTAAAGGGCTCATTATACAGCAGATGCTTTAATGCGGGACACTGCAAAGCCAGGGATATTCATCAGTTAYTTTCCTGATGTTGTCTCCATATCAACCTTCATGCAACTCTGACAACTAAGGAAAAGATACAATAAAGGCTGATCCCAAATCACAAAACGGCAGCATTCAATTGCCAGCAAAGCTATCCCTGCACCCCCCAGCCTTAAACTCTAGCAGCAGTGTACCTACGGCTTCATAATCCGCCAGCTCCAGCCTAGCTTTGTTCTGCATGGTCCGTTTGCAAAGATAGATGGCTAGAGGGAGAAACAGAATGGAAAACAATTATAGACAGATTACTGGTAGTAGATCCTAAAAAAAAAAAAAAAAAAAAAAAAAAAAAAAAAAAAAAAAAAAAAAAAAAAAAAAAAAAAAAAAAAAAAAAAAAAAAAAAAAAAAAAAAGAAAGAAGGAAAAAAGTAGTCCAGTTTGTTTTCATCAGAAAGCAACATGAGTCAAGGAATGAGAGAGATGAACACCCAGCTGACATTGCTTATGAGTAATCTCAGAGGCTCTAAACATCTGGGGCATCTCATTTAAAAGCACTGAGAGCAGATGCCAGGACCTAACAGGATGTCCAGGAAAGGCACAATTGCYTCTTTGCTTCTGGGTCTGGTAAAAGGCAGCATTAGCAACCTGTTCCCCTAAGCAGTTGGGAATACACATGCCACAGTGACCATCCCTGTGTTTCTTTTCTGCTAAGAAAAAATAAACTTAAGTCAGCTGAGAAATACGAGTCAAATCTTAAAGGCATGATCTGAGCATTTTTTTAATATGCTCCTTACATGCATTCTTCCACATTTCAAATGGTTAAGAGAAGMCTTGTCATATTTTCACCATAGGCAGACACGACTGAAAATGATGTGGTTTGGGTTCTGTGAGTCAAGATGAACCCAGAGCACACCACAAAACCTGTCCCAGGATCCTTCTGGGAAAGACCCACCTGGATCTGCCAAGCTCACCCCATTTCCATTACAGGCTGACAAAAAGGTTCACAGCACTTTCTGGATATGCAGTCAGGTATGAACATAACAGAGGCCCAGTGCTACTCATGTAATTCTATTCTGCACTGTTTCTATAATTTTAACATCCATTTAATGAGCCAGTATTATATATTGTAACCAGAGCTGACCAGTTCATTTGTATTTACACATCTCGAGGGCAATTTCCTCTGTAAGGCACCAAATAAAGTGAGAGTCAGCTGTCTCACAGTGTTTTTTTCATGCAAGGTACTGACCTGCCATTAGCAAGYTAGTTCCTCTCCTTTAAGTGGACACATGCAAATTAAAAAAAAAAGGTATGAAGTGCTKCTGGGATTTCAGTTTTATCTGGGTCTACTGCTAGTTTGGGATTAATTCCTGGGAAGACTCCATCTGTACAGGCCTCTGATATGCAAAGTCTGATTATAAGCATATGTTAGGGGTTTCTGGGACAGATGAAAATCTGTCACTACAGAGCTCAGAGCTAATGCAGTTGAAGCTTGTCCAGCTGTGGGTCAGCTCATACTGGGCTTTATTTTGGGGTGTACTGCTCCACTCAATGCCATTGCAGCACAATAATCTGACTGCAAAAAACTATTATTTATCTGATACTGCAGGAATAAAACAGAACCTCCCTCTTCACACTGTTTTCCTGGTATTTACAGAATACCTATTAGGCACAGTTCACACAGTGATAAAGGGTGACTGTAAAATCTGGATTTTTTTTTTTTGTATAGACAAAACAGCATCGTGTTTTCTCCTACAGCATCATGTTTTCTCCTAAGCAATTCTCTCACTGGGATAGACACRTAAGTCTGTGCTAGCTCCTCTGTAGATGAGAACTGCACATGAACTTCCACATGACACACACCATTGCAGGCCACTTCTTCATCCCAGCAAATGATTTCCAGAATCCATAATGATGAGTAATTACTGCACAGGAAGGAGAGAAACCAAACTGATTATTCAGGGAGGAGCTCCAAACCAATCTTAGGTTATGAGATAAAAGGACTTCCAGAAGCTCCCATTTTATGACTGCACACATGGATACGCTTCCTCTTCCAAAAGCCACACCAGGACGCAACAATTAATTTTATCATTTAACTGTGAAAGAAATGCAGTTCTGTAAGAGAGAGCAATATTGCATGCAGACAGCTAAAAATAACAACACTGACATATTTTCTTTATGTATTATTCCTGTCTGCAGGCAGTCGCATGTTTAAAACACCATGTTGCACTTCATTAGCTCATAAACCATGCTCAGTCTTCTCTTTTACCCTATTATCTGGCAATCTTAAAAAACTGAGAAAGTAAGTCTGATGTCATSTATCAGAGAATTTTTAACTCTGTGTTGCAGTTAGTTATGTACTGGTTTATTGATCAGTCAGATGAGTGCCCAGATAAACTAAATTTTATTGATCTACATAACAGGCTCAGCTGCAGGATCAGAAGAGGTTCTCCCACAAAAGCACTGTTGGTATTGTCTAAGACTCCCAAGAATCAGTATTCTGCTTGGCACAAATCCTGCTGAAATGAGCAGGGCTATGGGAGAATGAAGGTAATGACAGGCAAAATCCTGGCCCCACTGAGCTCAATGGCTACAGCTCCATGGATGTGAGACACACCAGGATTTCAATTCATGCATTTGAGATGGGCACATGCCTGCCCCTGACACTGCCATCTGACAAGACACTGCACACATAGAGTGTAGATGGACAACTGTAATTATTTTAAGGACAATTTTCGCATCACAAAGTTTCTGTACTAACTTTCTATAATGAAATAATGTAACTCTCACCATAATCTGTGTTTTCTGGCTCCCAGCAGTTTGAAGGCCAAAAGTATGGTGCCTAAGAAAAAACACAAACATTTTTGTAATCTAAGAGATGAAAACCAATTCAGATGCAGAAAAACATTGCAAGTACAAAAAGAAGAATCACAAAATCTACCACCCAATCTCTGCCCTCAGGGGAAACAYTGTTACAGATCTTGGTAAGAGTGAGGCTGCTTTTCCAGAAAGTTATGACTATTAATATTCCTCAATGCAGGTAAACAGAGATGCTATAATGCAAGCATCTYTTGAGGAGGATGTCCAGTGTCCTGATGAAATTTTAGACACTATTGCCAGCTCAACTGAATGTGGACCTCTTATCCTCTATCCCCAGCACCTCCTCTTTCCCTAGGTATTCACAGGCAACCTGAATATTTTTATTTTTTCTAACAGCATGAGAAACCTCGTCRTCTTATCTACATGCTACATACCCCTTGCTTTTCTAGAGCTGCTACCAGTGTGGTTGGCAGACTACAAAACAATTTCCTTTTTAATTGTAACAGATGGCAGAGGTCAAAACTCAGCTGTTTAAAGTCATTCCAAAAGCAGAAGTCCTGCTAAACTTACTGCTTTTGTTTTCTATCCAGGTMTGCATATTGCAGTTGCTACAATTAATTACAGGCTATTGCTCTGTGTGACCATATTTCAGTTTTAACACGAATKAAAAATAACGTGATCACACAAATTACAGAGCACTGGCACTTTACTAGTTGCACATTGCTTTACCAGTGTAATGCTATAGATGGGCATAGGACATGAACACACAGACTATTCCTGGCCCCAAAGTACAGTGAGAAAGGGTGGAGGATTCAAACAATGCAGGGTTCGATGCTCCTCACTGATACATGTCTTCAGCATTTCAGAAGAGCTACAGTTAAAGGAGGGACTGATGTTGAGRTAAAAAGTAGCAAGAAGAGAATAATGGAAATGAAGCATGATTCTATCAGGTTATTTTTTGCAGAAAACAGCTACAGAGGTGTRTTGCAGGAAATTACAATAGGCAAAGATTATGCAAAAGTTGTGAGAAAAGACAACGGAAAGAAAAGCTAATAAGTGGTCAGTTTGATGATATGGTTTACACAGGCTTAAAACAAGAAAAATAATTTAAATTATACTGAAATGTAGCTCCTGAAGACTGCACAGGACAAGTTCTTAGAGTGCCAGTTTTTAAAACAGAGAAAAATATAGCTAAATGGGCAACCGATATTACCCCTCTTCTGTTGTGTCTTACACGACAGGAGGATCAGGACTTTCAGARAAGAAAGGGAGTTGTAATGAAAAATCTGAGTCTGAATGATGCTTTGTAACCAGAAGGTGGAGTGAGATAAGACGAGGTCTGTGATCTCCTGGGCTTCTTTTTTCACCAAGACATTGGTCACATATGATAACACATTACCACATTAGCAGCAAGCACAAGCAGCTGCAACATCAGATGCAAAGAGCAGAAATGGCTTTTCAAATAAAAACCAAAAAAGAGGAAAAATGTAAAGGAAAAACAGGAGGGTGAACAGAAGAGAGGTGTCAGAAAAGACAAGGGAGCTGGCTGGGATAATATAAGAGAAAAACAAATTTCACCCAGCAGGATTAGGCAGTAGGATACCAAGTTTGGACTTACTGCTTATTCTAAAGTTATACAATCAGTTCAGAAGGAGTTGTTGCTGCACAAGCACTCAATTATCTACAAAGTTGACAGTGGCAGTTTTTGGACAGGGCATGGAACTCRAGCAGAGGGGGCTTTTAAAAATTCAGCACATCTGGTGGCACAGGAACACTGAGGGACAGGGACATCCCAGTTTAGSTGACTCTCAAGGTTACACATGCTTTGTAGAAGAGCCAAAGCCTTATRTTTGCCCTCTCCCACAGAAATCTGTAAGCAAGAAATGATAAAAATTTGAATTTTCTGCTGTGCCAAAGTTTGAATGTCCAACTCCTAAGTTTGCCCTGGTCCATTTTGCACAGGAGAATGGCTACTTAATTCTGCATCAGAGTTAGGACTTGAAAGACATTTTCTTTCTCCTGGTTTAGTTCAAATCTGAATAAAACAACCTCGAATTCACATATCAAAAATARTCACAGGATATACCCATTCATTTAYATAAAAATCTGTAAGCCAGAAGGTAGATGAGAGTAATCTGGAATTCTAAAGCAAATGTTTTTGAAGGGGCTTCATAATTTCCTAGGGCCTTCACCAAGACAGCCTCAATTCCTGGTTTCATAGCTCTAAAGGCTGCTTAGGGAAGAAGAGTGATTTCAGCAGTGTTACTGCAGGGAAAGTAGAAGGGGCCACAAGGGAGTYGGGGGGCTCACCAACCTGAAAACGATAGAATGTCCCATCATCTTTCAGGGTAAGGACATGGTCTGAGATTGGAAAGACATAACCCTGTGCAGCAATAAGACTTCCCAAGTGTATTGCTTCCCCTGTGAAAGAAAAAACAGCAGGGAGGTGTCAACAAGACATGCACTGCACGTTTCTCTGCTCTCAATAGCAGCTCTGCTGGTGATGACTCATGTGAAATCTGTGCCCACATGACTCTCAGAGCCCACACTACATCCCTTCTACATTCAACGAAACCATGCAAAGAAGGAGTGCAGGAATCACCCTTACAATGCAGATGAAGCACTGCTCAAACGTTTAACCCGCTAGTTTTTGTTTACAAAATGTCACACATCASTTCAGCTCCAGAGTATGAAACTCATTTCAAAGCATGTTATCCACCAGTGGTGACAGCTGACAAGCAGCCTGTTCCACCAGGGAGCCTCACTTCCCTCTACCAAATCCAACAAGCACCTGCAACACCAGWTCATTAGCAGGATATTTATTCATGAAGACACATCCTCACACTGTAGCACTGCCACTTGTTGGAGAAAATGTTGCAAAGGGAGTTGCATATCCTAGTGCTGCCCAGGCAACCTCCCCAGTGCAGAGGCACACGTGCACAGATTTTCAAGCAATACAAGCTGTCAAAAGCTGCATCAGCTTTCTCAGAGTTGAAAAATCATCTGCTCATGCATGTCCAGATAGATAATAAAGGTGTTGTCTGCAGCTGAAATGCAGATTTGGGCTCTGACAGGACTCATGAGAAGGGAGGTGGGTGTAGGGATGTCCTGTTGGATGATTCAACACTGCCTCTATCTGCTTTTACATGGTGACAGCAAGTCAGCAGAAAAACTGGCAGGTGAGATTCTGGATTTTTTCCCTTTCCTGAAAAGGAAAAGAAAGGTATGGACCTGCAGATCTTTTCTTCCCCTTCTAAATAGGTCTTAACTGTACCAAAATGATTTTAGTTTCTCTGAAGAGTGAACTATTTGGACTGTGCCTATGCACTGATCACTCTTTATGGCTGATTATTCATTTATCTATCTGCTGATTTATCTATTTACTCTTATTGATAAATTAGAAACCATCACCAGATTCCATGGCCCTGGCCAAGAATGACACAGACACTATGTCCTGTCACTGGTGGCTACCCTTCCTTGCACCATGAAAACCTGCTGCAGCATCTGCCTGCTTAACCACACACACCCACCTACTCCTTTCTGAAGTCTAGGAAAAAACTTAAAATCAATCAGTCTTCCACAGGCAGCAACAATTTCACAGGCTAAAATTCCTGTAATGGTATTTTTGGGTGTTGCACTATAAGGCATTAGACTTAATTAAGATGTTGACTCAACTCTTTTCCTCCTCCTCCCTCCACAGCTTAAATGAACCACGTTCTTTTCCTGGCATTTTATGCTGCAGCAATATAGCATTTACTGTCTAATGGCACACACAACACAGATGGAGCACATTTTTCCTCAGCTGTGGTCACCTTACCTGCATCCTCAATGCTGAGGTTCTTCATGAGCCACTGCACAATATCAGAACCTTAAAATCAAACAAACAAAAATTTAAGTAAGCATTAAACACCGAGACACAGGGTCTGAGAGCCCTAGAGAGAGATAACATTGGGATAGATACAATAGAACTGACAATGAACTTTATTCCATTTTCCTTTTTATTTCGACTGACATTTTAGAATGCTTTTCCTTGTGCCACACTGCAATTACATGGTCACTGACAGGTATTAAGTCCCATGAAGCTTTCTGTGCAATAGGAGACTTGATATGCTTTAAGTCAGATATTACTCTATTAGGTCCATGTTCTCTCAACTGTTCTGTCCCATTTTCTTCTCTCTCACATCAGACCACAGAGTTATGTTTTGCAAGCACTAGTCAGCAGGGAGATGAAGAAGCATTTACTGGCACCTCACACCTGTAATATATAGACCAGGAACATCAGTTAAAAAGAGACAGMGGAAGACTCATGACAAAGGCAAGCAATGTCTTAGAGAAGGCAGGAGTATTCAAAGCACCTGTAACTGAGCCCCTTTGAGCTGTCACCTGCTGGTGATCACACAAACTGGATGGTGTCCAGGAGGAGTGAGGCTTTAAGGTCCATCAGGAAGTTCATTAGGTCTTCAGCGCCCATCAAGTATAATGAAAGTAGCTGATATCTCGTAAAGAACATAAAATTCTCTGGGACTGATCCTCTGTATGTATACAACCTCTGTTGCTTGCATGGAAATCACAGAAGTGGAAAACTTGTTCAGTAGAAACTAAGGCCTGTCACYAAAATACATCGTGACACGGCAACACAATTTAGTTAAATCACATAGCCAGAAAGTTAAAATTAAACACAATGGTGTGCACAAGTCAGCTAACTGGAGTTGTCCAAAGTCAAAGGCAATCAGCAAAGACACTTGGAGGCAATTTAGCAAGTCCATACGAAGTCAGAATAGCATTCAGCACAACCTAACAATGCCATGCCTGGATGCAGACATAGCACCAAGCCCTTCTCAGCAGTCAATTTTCTGAGAAATATTTCCATTCACATACAGYAGGCTAATAGCCCCAGCAACATGTCACAGTATTATAGAATGGTTTGGGCTGGAAGGCACCCTAAATATACCCAGTTCCAACTCCCCTGCCATAGGMAGGGATGCCACCCCCTAGACCAGGCTGCTTAAAGCCCCATCCAACCTGGTTCAGAATTACTAAACAAATCCCAGAGAATCTTATTTGTGTGGAGCACTTCTGAGCTCAGACATGGATGGGACTTCAAGGAGCAGCATAACCATGACAGTTGCTGCAGAAAAACATTTTGCATTCCACAGGCCCAGAGCATCCCCATGCCCTCAGCAAATCTTAAACACAATAAAGGCCTGGAGTCATGAAGTGCCACACAGAGAGACAACAGGCACTGCTACTGTCTGATGTCCCTGCAATTATTTGCAGATCTGACTCTCCCATACAGGTAAAATTCCCATTAGAAATGTGAGCTCTATCCCACACAGAAGGGGACAGCAGCTCCCACTCCCCTGACAATGAAGCGGACCCACAACACCACAAGGAGCATCAGTAAACCCTCTTCAGTCAAGCTTCAGCAGCAGGCAGCAATAWGGACCTGACCTCACTGCCCACCCAAGGCAGGTGAAACAACCTTCCTGCCCCCAGCAGGCAATCAGCAGAGCTCCTGAAGAGCAGGGGAGCATCTGATTTCACTTAAATACTGGGCAAACAGATGTGACCAACAAGCAGCAGCCTGGCATTGTCTCAGCCTGCCTGGAAGGCATCAGTGGATACTAAAGGACCAATCTCACAATCWTGTGCTCTCAGCAACACGGTCATTCTCCACACCTCCCAACTTCACCTAGGAGCAATTTCAGTTGCTGCTATCCTATTTGGAAAGTTATTCCAGAATTCTTATTTTTTTAATAGATTGAACTCTTCTAGTAACTTCACAACCTAAGTTTGTTAATGTGCAATTTATATGCATTTTATATCATAACTGTATTGTCATTGAAAGAAAATAATGATTCTTCCTCCGTGACAGTTTCTCCTGAGTGTTTCTATAGAGGGCTGACACTTTGTCTCCCCATTTCTATTTCATTAAACCAATCCAACTCTTCCTATGTTCTCTTAAGGTGGTTTCTCCCTATATTTCACCATTTGGCAACTTTTCAAATTTAAATCAACTTCTTTGCACGGCGGTCACCAARGCTGCAAGGAGTACCTTGCAGAACAGCAAACCAATGCCTCTGGCAATGGTGCCAGCACTTTCTTTTCCCCACTGAAACCACCTTGACAGATGCATCCTGATGTCATTTTTTTGTGAAAAATAAATTAATTCAGAAAAATTTGCACAAGGGGTCCAAAACGCTGTGCTAAATGAGAAYGCATCTAGTGATCACTGCTAGCTGAATAACATATGGGGAATATGTTCAGCGCCAGGAACTGTTGTTTTGACAAGTTCGTTAATAAAATTTTGTATTTTATAAACATGGATGTTCCCTTTTACCTTTCACAAAATAAAAATATTTTAAAGACAGAGCAAAACATTTATGGTTAGAAAGATAATTCAAGGAGATTCAAACAGAGTGCTTCTGAATTGTTAGAAACAAAACCTCACAAAATGCTGTCTTGGTTCAAGTGAAACCAGAATCTTTCTCAGTTTTTCAGTTCATCCCCCAAACAACAAAAATCCACTGTTTTCCCTGAGTTTAGTCTCTGGTTACAGGCTTCAGTGATCTCTTAGGCACTGTATTGCCAAGTGACGTGAGWGCTGATACATGACAAACATTCACAGTATTGCATGGCTTTGCTCACAGGAGGTAAAGTGCTTCCTTTACACCCCTTTCAGGATGTATAGGAATACTTAGGGCAGGATTAACTCTGTTTTTACAAAGAATGATCACATACCCAGCTGAGGAATCTATTAAATTTCCATCAAACTACAATGAAAAATTCAAGTAATGCTGAAAGCTGGTTCCCCAGTCTTTCTCACCCCTCATAAGAAATGTTTAAATGGGTAGGAAAAGTTCAAAGGGGTAAGTAAACGGAAGGCACTAACTCAATCAAAACTCCTGTGATCAGTCCCTCCAGAATAGAAGCAGCACTTGAGATCAGGAATTTTAATTTGTCTCTGTTAAAAAAATGAAGTCATTCCTGAATGTTGCCAAGAGCCTGGAAGATGTTATAGCTGTTCTCCAGTTGTCCTGAGGCAGACAGATTATCTTTCTGCTGAGTTTGCTGAACCATTATTTATCACCTGCCAAGACTGATTACTCACCCTTGGGACAATGACAAGTCTTTCCTTCCTCTGTTAATTACTGTCATCGTTAATAGCCATATCACTAATTAATATTCAATCATAATGAAAACTCTTTACTGTCATTTCCCATAACACCTTTCATTTTAAGGGTTACCCTTACACATGAGCTTTGCATTTGCTTGTGGCTGTTTCTATCAGTGCAACCTACTTTTGCCCACCTAGAAATACTACTTATGCCCYTCTTCAAATGAGAAAATTCAGATTTATCCTTATAAGACACARTGAAGATTTGAGTGATTCCTTTACAACACTGTCCTCTGCCAGACCAGGACACAGATACCTTTATCTGTAAGTTTTCCAGGAATCATCATCTTCCCCTCTCCTTTAGATTAAGCTTGGTGGATGGTCCTCACAGAACTCACCTTCCCAAAATGATATTTTCTCACTGTTTCTCAGATTTCACATTGCACAAACTCTTTCAGAGAACACCCCAGGAAAACCCTTGACTCTGACATATTTCCATGATACACTAACAGCGAATTTGACAWCTTCTGAAAACAAATACTTGGGCATGTTTTCATAATAGAAGTGTTACTGAATCCAGGTAGAAGAATGGCTTCCATCTTCTCTGTGCTCCTCTCTATAGATCTGCATTTTCTCTGAGTCAGAACRCTCAGTTCAAGGATAGCCAACACTCTGTGAACACCTATTTCCTCCTCATCTATAATGAAACATATCTTTTTTGCCTTAGGCTTCTTCTTTGAAGCTGAAGTTGATTAATACCAACAGAATAGCTGCATTTTTAGGTGCAAACATATTCACAATGACCATTTATCCACCTATGTGTTTAGAAAGAGAATAGCAGGTTTTTATTTACTGCTATTTTCTACATTTTCTCTCGAGCCTCAGTGACCCCATAACAGTAGCTAGTGTTCTCTGCTGGCCATTGCCTGTCAACATGACAAATGAGTGGTCAGACATTGAAAGATAAAAAAAGTCACAAGGTGTGAGGCCATCAGCAAGATGCAGTTGGTGAGGTGAGTCACCACCACGGTATTTGATACCTTATCTACTCAACCTATGTTCTACCTCTTCCAGAAAACATGGAGCCATCTATAATCAGAYTTTCCTGTCTTTCACAGGCTGTGTGAAATGGCAAAGGCAGACAGGACAATTCTCCTCCAGCTATTTGTGAAGATCTGCTGCCTGGAGTGGAGTCTGCACTTCTGGTTGTGAGCAAAGGAGCCAGGAGCCCTGGACCCTCTGTGTCATCCACAAAACATGGCCCTGACAAGGCCTRCACCYGCACACACACACAYACATACACGTATACAAATAAAAAACACAAGAGTATTTCTGAAACATTACCAAATGATATGGTTGGGGTAGGGTCTTTTTATTTTATTGTTTTTTTTCCACGAAAAATGTGAACTGTTCAGCTCCTTCCCAGACCTCACCTACACACTCCATGGGCAAACAAGCCACATGCCTCTTTGTCAACCACCCCAAAGTCATGGTCTAGCCAGCCTTTTGATGAAAAGGTAAAAATATGTCCCCCTTCCTGTCATTTCATTCTTGAAAAGAGACGAACCCATTGTAGCACYGAATTTTCCAAACAATCTGCTCCTGAACCCAGAGCAATCTTTAAATATTTCTATCAGAAAAGCAAGAGAAAGAAAAAATCACAAGCAGTTGAAATGACACAAGAATACATGCATGGGTGTATGAGCAGACACTTAAGCTGCTTTTTATGCTGCCAATCATGGCAATCACAC